TACCTGTGGGACACACACACTCCAGGGATGTGCCTTGGAGCACTCGGCCTCCTCTCCACCCTGCCCTTCACGATGCCAGAGGATGCTCCCAGCTCAGCAGCATCGCCCACCTGAGGCCGGTGCAGAGCAAGGGGCTGCTCCCCGTGGAGCTGCAAATATCAGGATGCCAGCAGCAGACTGGTGCTGGGCAGAGCTGTGAGCCCCAAGCAGAGCTGAGCCCGGAGTGACGCACCTCTGGCGGGCGCGCTCCCGCTCCCGCTGGCTCTGCTCCTCCTTCTCCCGCTCCAGCAGCCCCCGCAGCTCCTGCGCCTGCCGCCCGTAGTGCAGCGCCGCCCGCTCGTCCGACTGCAGCAGCTCGGCCTCGTGCAGCAGCTTCAGCTGCCGGATGTCCTCGCGGTGCTTGGCCACCAGCTTCTGGATCTCCGGCTCCAGCCCTGGGACAGCGGGAAGGACAGGCACAGCTCGGCCTGGATCCCACCCCAGTGCCCTCGCAGGGGTTGGTAAGAAGGGGGGATGAGCGCAGAGGGGTTTGCTTGCCCTCGGGCATCTGCTCCACCAGAAACAGGGAGCAAACGCTGCCCGCACCAAGGAGCTCTTCCCCATCTCCCCTGGACCACCCTGGCACTGTCCCAGCTCCAGCTGCTGCTGAGGGAACCTGCCCGCACCTTTCACCGTGATTTCTTTGATCTTTTTGGTTTTCTCCTCAATCCACTTCTCCCGCCGGACTTTCTCAGTTGCGCTCATGAGTTCTTTCAGTTTTTTAATCTCCTGTTTGGAAGCAAATGGGAAAACCTCAGAGAAGCTGGGAGAAAAAAGCCCTGTGAGCCTGGGAGGCAGGCTGTTGGGAAGGAAGCTGTGGAGCTGCACATGGATGCATGCACAGCCCTAGCCAGGTGTGTTCTTCCAGCCCAGAGAAGCGGCCACACACTCTCCCAGTGCCTTCTCCTCTATCCCCCTGGCACAGTGCTCACTGCCAAGATATGAGAGCACTGACAGAGAGGGAAGGGGAACTGGGGACTGCCGAGGGTCCCTGCATGCAGGGCAGCCCATCTGTCCCTGTGTGGTGGTGCTTTCCTCTCCAGCCTTCCCTCTCCCTGCCATGGAAAACCCTCTGGCAGGGGCTGGAGCAGGGCCAGAGCAGGTCAGGGCACAAGAACAGAGGGCAAGGCACAAAAGAGAGCAAAGACCGCATTTACCTCACAAAAGGGGCCCAAAGTGCGCCAGACCTGGGGAGAAAGAAAGGAGGGGATGGAGAGAGAAGGGGAATGGAGGGGGAGAGGCAAATCCACACAGTCTGTGGCCACAGTCTGTGGTCTGTGGGAGCCACGGGCAGGGCAGAGCTGGGCAGGAGTCCATGGGGGCGAGGGGAGACAGCACAAGGGACAAGGACAGGGACAAGGCCAGGAGCCTGTGTGGTTGGAGCCTGCTCCAGAGACCAAGGGACCCCCAGGCATGAGCTCAGCTCCAAGGTCAAGGACAAGCAGGGACTGGGATGGCAGAGCTGGGATGAGCTCTGGTGCTGCTTTCCTGCCGGGCCTGGCACAGGGAGAGCTGAGCTGTCTCCATCTGCAGGAGAAGTGGAATTCCTCCATGGCACCGGGTTTGTGCCAGGTGTCCCTGGTCACCCCCAGCCTGGGAGAGCTCTGCCTTCAGCGGGATTATGGAATCACAGAACGGTTTGGGTTGGAAGGCACCCTAAAGCCCATCCAGTCCCAACCTCTGCCATGGGCAGGGACATCTTCCATTATCCCAGGTTGCTCCAAGTCCTGTCCAACCCAGCCTTGTACACTTCCAGAGATGGAGCAGCCACAGCTTCTCTGGGCAACCTGTGCCAGATGTGTGGGAAAGGTCTCTCCAAGCAGAGCCTGGGAGTCTACACTGTCCCTCGGTCAGTGCCATGCTCCTGGCCCTGGCCAGCAGAGGACAGAAGCCTTTTGGGGAGCCAGGAGAAAGCTCTGTGGTCACAGGGACCTTCTGTGCACAGGGAAGAGCTCCTTGGAGTGTCCAGGTCCCACCGAGGTGACAGAGACTGTACTGCTCCAGGCAGAGGCCCCATTTGAACAGAATCAGCAGGAACATCCCCCCCATCTTCCCCTTCCTCTCACCAGCTCGTGCTGCTCCTGCATCTGCGTGATCTTCTGGCCGTACTTGTGGTCCACTTGTTTCAGCTCTGCCACCACAGCCTCACACTTCTCACTCAGCACCTTCTTGTCATCGAGGAGCTGGGCAGGGCGAGGAGGGCATCAGGCAGGTGCAGCCACCTCAGCCTCTGCCTTCAGGAGCTGGGATGAGGGATTACCTGGTCAATGAAGGCCAGGTGCCTCTGGATAGCTGCCTCATACTGCTCCCTCTGCAGCCTGAGCTGGTGGCCGAGCTCCTTCTCGGTCTGTTTGACGTGTCGGTCGGTCAGTTCCCGCTGCTGAGCCTGTGGGGAGCAGGAGTCAAACAGCCACCGTGTGGAAATCACCAGCAGGAAAACGAGGGACAGAGCTACAGCAAAGCCCTGGTGCTCACATCTCCCACCCCTGCCAGCAGGAACACCCAGCCCCCCAGGACAGAGAAGGGAGCTCAGCCCAGGTCCCAGCTAGATGATCTTTAAGGTCCCCTCCAACCCAAACAATTCCATGATTCTGTAAAATCAAGGGATAGTCCTGATCATAGCCCCAAGAACCACATGAGAGGCTGACACACCAGAGCAGTCTGCAGCAGGCTGATGGCTCTCTTCTTCTCCTCCACTTCCAGCTTCAGCCTCATCATGGAGCTTGTCACCTCCGTGGCAACAGCCGACACCTGCTCCACGTGAGCCAGCTCCTCTTCCAAAAGGAAGCTCTGCCACAGCAGAAAAAACATGATGGAAAAGGTGTTGGAACCACCTGGAATGAGGACAGGGAGATGGGGGATTCCATCCAGGAATGGATTCCCACAGCACAGATGGACTCACCTCCCGCTGTGCGGCTGAGGCGGCCGACCTGGGCCTCTCCTGCTCCGACTTCTCCATCTCATCCAGGAAACTGATGATGCTCTGCAGCTTGGCCTCCGAGAGCAGAGCCCCGTCCTCGGGGACCCCTGGCGGGTGGTTCAGCTTCCCAAACTTCTCCAAGTTATCAGCAGTCAGGGAATTGGAGCTGGGCTCCTGCTGGGAATTCACCGTGGTGAATGAGCACCCCGGGGAAGGCTCGGGAGAAGAGGTGCTGCCTTTTCTCCACCACTGGAGCCCAGTCCTCCCACTGCACCCCAGCAAGCAGCCCTCCTCCATCTCCTCCTCCAAATTCCTCCATCAGCCACTCCAAGCTCCTCCACCACCCTCCCTGGCAGTGCCCAGCTGTTCCTCACCAGGCAGGTGTCCAAGGATGGACACAGCAATCTCATTCCCCAGCTCACCCTGTCCATCCAGGCATATCTGTCCTTCTTGAGGAGCTTGGGTGGGGGCAGCAGCTCTGGCTCTTCCTCCAGCAGCCTGAGGGTGTCCAGCAGCTCATTGAGCGTGACCTTGGACGGAGCCCCACTGCCAGCAGCCACTGCTGTCTCCAGGTCCTCGTTACCCGTCTCCCTGGAGCTCACATCCTAAGCGAGAAGATGAGAGAATGACAGAGTTTCCTGGGTCTCCCCAGAAGCCAGCAAAGGCTCTGATGTTGCCCTGGCAGAGCAGCTGCTGCCAGGGCCACCAGGAGGCACAGCCAGACCCACCTGCAGTTTGTCTTCTGCCCTGGGGTCCTGTGAGGGCACGGAGCCAAGAGCTCCCAGGCCGTTTCCTTCCAGCTCCCCTGCAGCCGAGGGGGAATTGGCCTCTGCAGGGACCAGAGTGTTCTCAGGCACTCGCCCCAGCCAGCCCTGGGAGGCAGCTCCTCAGAGCAAACCCCTCCTTCCCTTCCTTCCCAAGGCTCTGGGGACACGCCTGAGGGACTCACGGGTGTTGTTGGCTTTGGTGAGGCTGCCGGCTGGGCTGACATTCCTGCCTGAGGCAGCTTTGGCACCAGGCTTCTTCTTGGGCACCCTCCTGCTCTCCTTCACCAGCACCAGCTCTTCTGCCGAGCGCTTCGTCTCCGAGGCTTTTTGGGCCCTTTTCTGCTGCAGCTCCTGTGGGGACAGAGGAGCCATGGACGTCCTGAAGTTTTGGGAAGGCACAAGCCTGTGTTTGCAAGGTTGTGGCAGCGTTTTTGCATCCTCCAGCTGCTCACTGATGTGTCTCTCCCAACCTCCCCCACAATGGAACATGATTCCAATCAGGGCAAAGAAAATTTGGGGTTTAAAACATCCCCAGCTTTACTGCCAACTCCTGCAGCCTGTGCCAGCCCCATCTGCACCACCAGCTGCAAGAGCAGGGTGACAATGACGTGCTGCTTCCTGCCAAGGGACATGGAGTGGTACTCAGCCCTCTCCAGAAGGACCCTGCTCCTGAGGAGGAGCATGCACATCCCAGGGCAGTCACACCCCTGGCCATTCCAAGGAGCTTGGAGTCTCCCTGTCTCAACGTGGTCACCATTTTCCTGAGAACTGCACAGAAACCAGCACTGTCTTCACAAGCTCAGAATGAGCTGCCAAGGCTTGGCAGGAGCGCAGCAGGAAACCGCTCCATGGCACCTCCATCTCCGGAGGGAGCACTCCATTTCCAGGGCTGGCTCTGATCCTGCCCCGTGCCCAGGCTCTGGAGATGCAGAGAGGCCTCTGGCTGCCTTGCTGGATGCTGCCAACAAATGGTGTCACACAGGGCTGGCCCTGGCCCTACCTGGATGGCAGCGTGCCGAGCCAGCCGTGCCTTCTCCTCTCGGATCTTCCGGCGTTCCTCGTCCTTCCTCTCCTGCAAATCCAGGATATTCCCCTCCTCCATCCGCTGCTGCCTTTCCTTCCAGAGAGGAGGGTTAAAAATGTTACTGGGAATTCTCCAGCACCCAGCACTGAGAAGTGTGAGGGGCACCCACACCTGGGTCACCCCACATCCAGGCTTTCCACCCTCCCCTCTGTGCAGGTGAGGAGCCCTCAGCACAGCTCCACTTTGGAGCAGCTCATTTTCTTCAGATCCTCAATGTTATTATTATTATTATTATTATTATTATTATTATTATTATTATTTCATCACCATCATCTGGGTCTGCAACCACCGAGGAGACAAGGCTTAAAAATAGACTCACACGCAAGAGCAACGGCGCTTTTCATTACTGGGATAAATAATTGAACACAAAGAAACACAAATAGCTGTGAAACCTCATCACTCTAACAAGCCACCTCATTAGGGATTCATTAGGATGAGCCAAGATGGGGCATCCCTTCTCCACCAGTGTGGCCCAGACAGTGGCAATTCAGGGCTGCTACTGCCAAGGTCTGACTGCTCCCAGTCAGGGGACTGGGGGAACTGGAGCCGTGTGGTGCTGAGCCTTTGGGCCTCAGCTCCTGCTGGAACCCAGCCCAGGCTAATCCCTGGACACAGCCAGCACTGCTCTGAGGGAATGGGACCCTCCCCAGCTCTCTGGGCTATGGTGGGGCTGGTTGGATGCAAAGCCAGAGCCCCCTCAGCTCTCACAGCCCAGGTCTGGGGACTAAAGGGACCCCAACTGCGTGGCCAGAGGGACATGGGTGTCAGGTGGTCTGGGCTAGAGCAGGGAATGGGACCAACCTCCCTCTTGGCAGCCATCAGGCGCCCCAGAGCCGCAGCCGCCGTCCTGCGCCGCTGCGAGTGCCGCCGGTACCAGCGCTGGATGGTGACAGCAGCCAGGTTCACCTGCTGGATGAACCTGTGGGGACAGGGAGGCTCAGCACAGCCCGCTTCCCCACAGCACCAGGACCTGCAGGGACCCTCAGAGTGGCCTTTCCCCAGTGTGAAATCCCACAGGGTAAGAACAATCTCCCCTGGAGCTCCTCACAGCTCCTGGCACCGTGTCCCTGCCCCTTCCCTCACCTCTCAGCCTCCTCCTCGGTCACCTCCCTCCTCCGGGGAACGCTGCTGCTGCTGCTGTTGTTGTTGTTGTGGGTCATGATGTTGTTGCTGGAGAAATTCTTCTGAGACTTCACAAAGCTGCTGCTGCCTTCCCCATCCTCGTTCGAGGTCGCTTTGATGACGTTGCTGGGACAGAAGATGAAGCCACTCAGCTCTACCCTGTGCCACACACGACCCCAGGGCCAGCCCAGCTGCAGAGCCAGGACACCCCCACACTCACTTGAGGGAACTGGGAGCCTGGTTGGAGCTCTTGGGAGCAGGGCCCCTCTCAGCAGTGGAGTAGTTGTTGTGCACCATGGTGGTGACACAGTTGCCCATTGCGCCCTTGTTGCTCCTTGTGTGGAGAGACCAGGAGCGTCAGGAACAGCACCTTCCCCTCTTTGGGTGTTTTCTCCATGCAGTTCCAGCCATTCCCCCCGTCAGGACCCTCTGTCCTACCTGTTGTTGGCAGTGAAGTTGGCAGCCAGGAGCACCGTGGCTTCCTTCCTCCTCATGCCCGAGGGCAGCTCGAGGCCCTGGGAGCCAGAGGGGCCAGGGAACGCCCGGGGTTGGTCATCCTGCCATGGAGTCAGCAGGGATAAGGGCATCAAACCCACCTCCTCAAACAGCACCAGGAGCACAGAGCCAGCCTGGCCCGCCCACTCCCACAGCCTGCTGTCCTCACCAAGATATTCCATGTGGTTTTCTTTTCCGGGGAGGTTTTGCTCAGAGTTGCCAGTTTCTTCCTTCCTCCTGGATCGTCCTCAAAGAAGGCCAGGAAGTCTTCTGTTTGCTCCGTGCTTTATCCAGACCCAGGGAAGGCAGAGAGGAGAGAACAGGGGTTCTGGGATAACAGGACACACTCTGGCTATGCAGGGCACTCAGACACTCAGTGTGACATAAAAGGGGGCTGGAGAATCGTTACACAGCCACAAAATCCACAAATTACTTGTTTTTACACAGAGCTTTGGGTTCCAGGGTGGTGTGTGGTGATAGGGATGGGCACAGACCTACAGGAGAATGGAAAATCCCAACTCAGAGGGCACTGGGAACAGAGAACTTTTGTCTCCTCACACAGCCCAGTTAGGGCCTGGAGGCTGCATGAGGGCTGCTGGAATCAAATGGAATGTTTTTTGCCACAGCCACAGAAATACACTCCATTTCCCCAGATAGAAACTCTTCCCTGCGATGGGAGTGAGGCCTTGGCACAGGCTGCTCACAGAAGCTGGGCACTGCTCTGACAGAGAAGTGTCCCAGGACAGACTGGATGGGGCTTGGAGCAACCAGGTTTTGTGGAAGGTGATCCTGCATGGGACTTTAGGGTCAGGCTGTTCTGTGATCCTGAGAAACCATAAACAAGGCACCTGCTCTTCAAAAAAATAACCGAAGTGCCAGACCTTGTTTTCCAGGGCCAGGTGTTAACTCCTGATGTGGATGACAGAGCTCAGGGTATTTTAGGAAAGACTCCTGTTCCCCCACAGGACCAGGGAGGCTGGCTACACAGGTGGGGTGTCCCCAGTGCCACCCTCTGTGGTGGAGCTGTACCTGTGGGAGCTGTTCACCCGCTGGTTCACCTGCGTGGTGCTGTTGGACCTGCGCAGGTTGTTCATGGCCCGGGATCCCGCATCTTCCTGCAGAGAACAGGGATAAATCCAGCAGCCACGTTCAGGAGGAGCACAGGCAGGGTCCCCCACCCTCTCACCCAGTGGGACACGGAGTTCCCACCAGCCCAGGGCTGCCAAGCTCTCCTTGAGGCAGCGGGCAATGACACCTCGCTCGGGCGCTGCTGAGCCAGCAGGAACACGTTCCTTAGCACAAGCTCCCAGGAACAAGGGTGCAGGAATGCTGCCAAGGGATTACTCAGCACGGAGCACAGACTGTCTGCTGCTGGATCCTGACGGAGCCCAGCAAGCACCTGGGGCTTGTTCCCTCTGTGGAACCCCCACCCAGGAGCCCCCGGTGCGGCAGGAACAGGGGGTGCTCCATGAGGGGCAGGCTGGGCCACACATCCCAGCAGGAGACACCAGGAAATCAGGGCTTTCCAGATGGAAATTGGCACAGGGAGGTGAAGGGCAAGGAAGAGAAAAGATGGAATCCTGACGCTCCCTACTTCTGCATCAAGCAGAGATCGCCGAGGGTGGTGCCAGAGCAAAGCCAGGCTGGTGCTGGGGGAACCGCAGCGAGAGAGAGGGACATGGGCATGCCTGGAGCTATCCCACATCCCAGGCACGCGTTCCCTGACCCAGCACAGGTGGGAGAAGCACAGGGGCTCACCGGGGCGTTCCTCTTGGCCTTGCCGTCGGCAGCCACGGACACGGAGCGTGCCATGAGCTTGGCAGGAGAGGCGCTGCCGGGGCGCCGCGACACCGGCGCCGGGAGCCCCGTCAGGATCAGGTCTGCCACATCGGAGCTCTGCATGGAGCAGCAGCTCCGGGTGCTCTTCATGCTGGAGCAGGAGGAAGGAGCCCTGGAAGCACAGCACAGAGAGAGGGAAGGCATGGAGCATCCGGCCTCGGAACCAGGTGCTCCGGCAAACGCCGGCACCCAGAGCTGGAACTGCTTCCCAACAGGACAAAACACCTTCCTTGAAATTGCCACATGGCAAATAACCCAAGCACAGCCCTGGAGAGGCTCCAGGAGAACTCCCCACTGCTTTCAACCAACACTCTGGCTGTCCATGAACTGCTGTCTTCTATGGGCCGGGATTCCAGCAGAGGACTAAAGGGAGAGGAAAGCCCTGCTCCCCATCCCAGGCTCCTTCACTCCACACAGCCCACTGCTGCCAGAGGATCACACGGGCCCAGAACGGCCCCATCTGTGCAGGCTGGAAGTTCAGCTTAGCCCACACCAGGCTGGGATGCTGAAGAACCCCCTGAGCAGCTCCCAAGGGATCCTGACAAGAGTTTGTACAGAAGGGTCTGCGCCCTCACAGGGGGCACAGGGAGAGCTAGGCCTCCTCCCAGCTCAGGGCAGCACATTCTCCTCTGCATTCTCCCAGCTCCTGTGCTGATCCACAAAAAGCCCGGATCACTTTATTTCCTTACATTTATTACCCACACTGTCCCTAAACCCTGTCCCCTGGCAGCCCTGCCTTCCCATCTCAGGGCTCCACCACAGCCCTTGGCTGTGCCTCGGGCTCCCCAGGCTGGGGAAACAAACGGCTCTCATGGAAACCGCTGGGTTCACGGCAGGAAAACGGAGCTCAGGAGCTCAGGGCCAGCACAGCAGCCTGAGCCCCCAGCCCCTCAAATCCCTAAAGCTCACACTCCCAAGCTCTGAAGCCCCAGGCCCCCAAGCCCCTGATGATCCACAGGAAAGCCCTGGCCTGAAGCTCCCAAATCCCCTCAGGATCACCCCAAGCTCCCCGTTCCCAGATGCCCCCAGCTCCTCCCAGGATGCTCATCCCCAACTCCCCCAAGTTCCAGACCCCCACCAAAAGCCACGGAGCACTCAACCCCAGGACCCCCAGAAAACCCAGCCCCACACCCCCATGACTCCAGCCCATAATCCAAAGCCCCGAGCCCCTCATTGACCCAGATCCCTCCAGGACCCCCGAACTCTCAATCCCCGCAGTCCCCAGCCCAGATCCCAAGCCCTCCAAACCCCCCCCAGACCCCAACCTCCCACGACCACAGTAAT